TAATCAATTAAATGGTGAAATAATCAACGATTAGTCGATTAATTGTTCTAATAATCGTTAAATTAATTGATTGTCAAAATAATTGGTTGTTGCAGCCCTACTGAGAAATGAACTTTCTCTAGGGTTGTCTTGCACTCTTCCCTGTATTTTCCAGTAACTCTGAACAGTGGTGAACAGTTCTCATATAGCAGATAGTGCTGTTATTTTGGATAATTTAGATCTGCTCGAGAATTCAACATCAATATATCTGGTTTATAATGCCTCACTGTGGCGAGGCAATGGGTTCCCATGTGCCTATGACTGGACCTGATTTCACCTGTTTTTTTTGAGTACTGGGACATTTTGTACAAACATCTCATATAGGCCAATTCTCCTTAAATAACCAGCTCTGCAGATGTCTGCTAGAGAGGCGCCATGCACCAATGCTCAGGAGGAGGCAACACTCCAAGTGGAGTGAGCTCTCACCCCCAGGGGGCACTGTGTCTGGTACGCCAAGGCGATGGCATCCACTAGCTAGTTTGGAGACAGCCTTTATCTTCTGCTGACCTCCAAAGCAGACAAAGAGCTGGTCAGAGCGTCTAAAGCTCTGAGTGTGTTCCACGTATGGGACACAGCAAATCAAGGGCTGGATCTGCCTCCTCCAGCAGCAGCACTTGCAGGTTCACCACCTAGTCCCAAAAGGGAGTAGTGGGAACTTTGGGCACATAAACAGGCTGGGGTCTCAGGGTAACGTAAAAGTCAGCCGGCCCAAACTCAAGGCATAATTCGTTGTCCGAAAATGCCTGCAGGTCCCCAACCCTCATGATGGATGTGAGCATGACCACAAGCGCTGTCTTAAACGACAATAACTTGAGCTCAATTGAGTCAAGCGGCTCAAAGTGGGCTCTCCGTAGTCCTGCAAGGACCACAGAGAGATCCCAAGAGGGGATGAGGCGCGAGAAGAACACCAATCAACAAACAGACTCCACTTCAGGGCATAGGCCTGCCTAGTAGAGGGGGCTCTAGTCTGAGTGATAGTGTCTGTCACTGTCTGTCAGTGTCTGGCAAGTGAGGTCTGCCACATCCCATCCAGAAATCAGACATGCAGGTTCCACAGATCGGGCCGTGGGTGCCCATGAGAAAAAATGTCCTTCCTCTGGGATTATCCAGGGAGGGGCTGTCGTGAGGAGCATGAGATTGGAAAGCCAGGTCCAGGTGGGCCAGTATGGCGCAACCAGCAGGACCTGCTCCTTGTCCTCCCTGATCTTGCACAGAGTCTGTCCAAGGAGGCCCACTGGGGGGAAAGGCGCACTTGCACAAACACTGGGGCCAGCTGTATGCCAGCGCATCCATGCCTTGGGGGGACTCTGTCAGAGAGTCAATATTGGACAAATATAATGTAATTTAGTGGCGGCAGGAGTTGCGCGCTGCCGGTACATGTACAGTCAGACAAAACAATGTGCACAGCTATCAAAGACGCGAGTGTGCGTGCAGTCGTGGAAAACGATGTGTTCGGCAGTTAAAGACGCGTGGGTATCAATGTGCTCAGTAATTAAAGAGGCAGGGCGGCGTTTCTGTTATTTGGTTTGTGACATCCTTTACGGGAAACACCGGCGCAAGGCTGCTCACAGCGTTTGGTCACGAGAACACCAGAACCGTTTTCGGAACCGAAACTTAGAAATTGCTCACGGTTCCGGTTCTTTAAAAAAAAACAGAACCGGTTCTGAATAAGAGCCGGTTCTCGGTTCCCAACCCTAATTAGGAAAGTTGACGAGTCCTTAAAGTCTTGAATTTAGTTGTATCAAATGTAAGGCCATAAAAAGACTTAAATGGTACAAGAAAGTCTTATGATTTCGAGAGGTCTTAAATTTGGGGATGGAAAGACGAGAATTGCGACGTGGCTTAATGTGACGATTAAACTTCAAAAGGCTGTGATTTAATTGAATAAATATGAGCTGCAGTTTCAGGCCCTGTTTAAAAAAAACGGCATTTTAAAATGAAAACGGTCCTCGTCTGCACTGGCGTTTTCACGGCGTTTCAGAAACGATCTCCGTCCACACTACACAACTAGGGTTGGGTACCGTTCACATTTTAACCGGTATGGTACCGGTATCGGTACCTGAATTTCGGTGCCGGTACCCAACGGTATTTTTTTTCCGGTACTTTACTCTCTGTGTTATTACAAAAACATTTATTTCAGTGAAAAAATAAGTCCAAAAGTCTCAATTTCAACATTTTGAACAATAGGGCACTATAAACTTTTTCCAAATGGCCAAAACCATGAATTCATGTTTTTAGGTTTATAATTGTCCGGCTGGTGAGGAGGGTTCATTACTGGACCTCAAGCAATTGTAGTTGAAGACCCCTGGGTTAGACCAGTAGCTCTTCACTGCAGTCATCAGGCCGGTTTTTGTTCGTATGTGAACCGTTCTAGACTCCAGATGAGCTTTACTCCGGTAGACCTGCTCGATTCCTCTCCATGCCGTTCCTCAGCGCACAGGGAATGCTGGGACGTCCTGATTTCTCATGAATCTGCTGACGCAGCGTTTCTCAGCATCACAGTCTCTCTCAGGTGTTCGAGCGTCTCTTTGTTCCAGATGTTTTGAGGTCAGACAAACACGCCGGTTCTCCAGATCTCTCCTCTGAAGATATTTTAGCATCTTAATCGAGGCCGTCTTCTGAAGTGTCATTGTAAGTGTTTCTATTGACGTCTATTAAGGGATTCAGCAGGTGCTTGGTGTGATTCTTTCATACAGGACAGTGTTTCAGCTCTAAAGTCTCTCAGTCGATCTCATTTACTGCCTGCCAGCAGCTTCCACACATGGAAACTAAATCAGAGTAACCTGCCTTACTTGTTTACCTGTTTATATTTATTTAGTCACAATGTGGTTTGAAAGATTAGATTATATCAGATTAGAAGTAACATCAGACTATCAGATGTTCATGCGGATCATCAGGCCACTAGTGAAGGTCGTGGGTTCGAGTCTCTGCTGTACGTCTGGAGCTTTGAGTCGGATCAGTAACAAACAACATGAAACACACTAGTTAACACATGACCAACCCGGGTGAGTGGTTCAGCAATCTGTGGTTCATCTCATAAGTGTGCTGTTAATATAATTCACTTCCCTTTTTAGGAAAGAAATCAGAATAAAGTGAAAGTGTTGAGTTCAATAGTTGTCTAGATTAATTACTAGATTGTCTAGATTATTTATTTTTCAGCTTGTTGATGTTTATACAGACTCAAAGACTCATCTCCTGAGCCACTGCACAAAGGAACAACATGTAACCAACACAATAAATCAGAGCAAATAGTTTTAATAAAGTTCAAATAGTTTTCACATCTTTTTGCACTGTCTGCTTGTGTTCTCTCTTCCATGATCGCTGCTCTGACTCAGAGGTAATAACATATTTAATTTCAGCTACATTACATGGCCAAAACACACATTAGACGGCAATCGGAAGTTATTAAAAACACTCGATGGTGCTTTAAAGTGAGTTTTGAGTAAAATCTTATTTATTGTCTTATGTAGCATGATGCTATAGTTTGCATGAATGGTCACATAAGGGTGAACAGACCTGAGAAAAAAAAGTGAGTTTGTGTTTGTGTGCGTGTGTAAGAGTGAGTGTGTGTGCGAGTGTGAGTGTGAGTGTGTGTGTGTGTTTTATAGGCGTGTGTCTCTGTTCTTTCATTTGCAGGCGTGTGGTACATTAGACGGCAATCGGAAGTTATTAAAAACACTCGATGGTGCTTTAAAGTGAGTTTTGAGTAAAATCTTATTTATTGTCTTATGTAGCATGATGCTATAGTTTGCATGAATGGTCACATAAGGGTGAACAGACCTGAGAAAAAAAAGTGAGTTTGTGTTTGTGTGCGTGTGTAAGAGTGAGTGTGTGTGCGAGTGTGATTGTGAGTGTGTGTGTGTGTTTTATAGGCGTGTCTCTGTTCTTTCATTTGCAGGCGTGTGGTTATGGTTTCCTCAGAATAACCCTATGTGTGTGTGAGATATATATATATGTATATTAGGCCTCTATGATTTCCGCCATGTGGAAAATGTGGATGGAATCGTGGAATCCAGTCATAAAAATGGGATTTACAGCATAACACAGAATGTATCTGGAATCTGGCAAAACTGATATGGCAATAAAATATGGCGAAATGGATTAGTGTCTATGAATATTAAAGCACAAAAACACTGAAATATAAAGTGTGAAATATGAAGTGTGAATGAGCTCCGCAGGTTTGCTCTACTGAAACTGAAACACACGTGACGCTCGTCTGTGTCACTCAATATGAACACATGAACTTCATCTTTAGAGCTGCTCTGAGAGTCACTTCACTGTTTCATTTAAGAAAACTATCGTCAAATAGACACAGAAACTCAAAGATCTTCACTACAACCTGTCTAAATAAAAGTTCAGTTTAACCTGAAGAAATTATGACACAAACATATTACTCTTGTACAGTAAATGCATTTATAATGTTACAAAAGATTTCTATTTCAAATAAATTCTGTTCTTTTGAACTTTCTATTCATCTGTGAATCCTGAAAAATAAAATGTATCACAGTTTCCACAAAAATATTGTGTAGCACAACTGTTTCAACACTGATAATAATCAGAAATGTTTCTTGAGCAGCAAATCAGCATATTAGAATGATTTCTGAAGATCATGTGACACTGAAGACTGGAGTAATGATGCTGAAAATACAGAAATATCACAGAAATAAATGATATTTTAACAGATATTCACATAGAAAGCAACTGTTTTAAATTATAATAATATTTCAAATTTTTATTGTATTTTTGATCAAATAAATTCATCCTCGGTGAGCAGAAGAGACTCTTTCAAAAACATGAAAATATCTTACCAACTGTAGTGTACTAGTACTACTAGACTAGAATAACTCATGTAAAGGCGATTTGTAACAATGTTGAGTGCTGAAACCTGCGCAGGCCTGATTTTATTCTGTATGGTGGTTAAACTGCTGCTGACGGTGTGTGTGTGTGTGTGTGTGTTTCAGGGGTCCGTTCAGTGTGGTGCGTTTTATACTGTACAAACTGTATGTGCTATTGCCCTACACCAACCCTACCCCTAAACCTACCCCTTACAGGAAACTTTGTGCATTTTTACTTTCTCAAAAAAACTGACTCTGTATGATTTATTAGCGAAAAATGGGGACATGGGGTAATGTCCTCATAAGTCACCTTCTCCTTGTAATACCTGTCATACCCATGTCATTATACAAATTTGTGTCCTCATATGTCACAAAAACACACACACTCACACACTGTACACCACTCTAATTGGCATATTGTGGGTAACTCTGGAGGCTGATAGATCGGGGTTCAGCAGGGCGTGACTGATGGCCGTCTGGTTTCGGTGGGAATCTGTGGAGCGTCTGTGGATTCTTACAGACTCCATGCGGCCTGGTCATGGATACCAGCGTCATGCCAAAAGGATTGTGGGTGATGTGTGTGTTCAGAGTGTTTGTTTGTGTGTTGTGTTGCTGCCCGCTGGGCTGCCGGAGCTCCGAGCTTTGGCTTCATCCGTGAGCCATCTGTGAGCAAACAGACAGACACACATCAGATGAGGACGAGTGTTTTACCACTGAGAATATTTGTAAAAATACAAACAATCTTCCTGCGGCTGAATCCCTCAGTCACTGAACGTGATGATAAACGTCTCCATAACAACCCTCTACAACGCCAGTAAATCACTCACATATGCGACTAAATGATGTCTAACATTCGCCACTGGCTAATAAATTCTCAGATTTTACTGGCCAGTGTGTGAGTAGGAGGTACAGTATAAGTTTAGCACAGATGTATTTTCACTCTGACTGAGCACTTCAGAGTTTCTCTCTCCGTCCAGAGATCTGTGCTGTTTTTCAGTTCAGCTCAATGGATGTGCAGCGCACCTGTATTTGACGCACCGTAAACTCTAGAGAAAGAGAGCGAGAGTCTTACACACCACGCTGAATTGACGCGCTACATGGAAACCATATTCTTTGTTGTATTTCCCTGTCAGAATAATGTAGTTCATTTGGAAATCTGCTTTTAAGAACAAGCAGAAGATATGCCTGTTTCTCCGATAGTGGGCGGAGCTAATGCACAAACGGCAACCTCATTGGCTGGCACTCATCTATTACCGTCCCTGTTTTGATTCAGCAAATCAGTTCAAGCGAACGCTGACAACATGATTAATATTCATGAACCCAGCAGCTCATTAATCCTGAGTGCATTTTATATTGTTATTAGTAGTAGAATTCGTAGTAGTATTATTATCAGTATTGTTAGTTTATTTCCCTCTTTTTTTTTTTACAGAAACACTGAATGACCATCAATATCTTAAGCAGCACCAGTCCTAAGTTCAGTTAAAATAACTAATATGCATTCATACATGGTTACCAAGTTTTAATTCTAATTACTAAAGTTTTATCATTAAATAATGCTTGATGATCATAATATCATATTATAATGCTGGGTGGGGGGTTCTGGGTTTTTTTTTTCTGGACTCCTTTTTAATGGTTAAATTAAATTTTATTAGTCAAAAAGCATGTCTAATTAATTAAAATCATTAAACAAACAATTTAACATCAATTTATCAAAAGTTTAACAAAAATTACATGTTTAGGGCCCTATGAAATGTTTTATTTTTTCCAACCTTATGTTTTATTGTTACCAAATTCTGTTTTAGCATGTCTAATTATTTGAAAGCATAAAAACAAGTTTCATTTATTTTTACAATAGCCTTATGATTTTTTGCTCAGAAATTCTGCGTTGTAACATTCATTTAATCTATCTTTTAAGTAATGAAAATTAAACATTTTATTTTTTGGAAAATAAAGGTAATTTAATATTACAATTAAAACACTGAAGAAATATTGTATGATTATTCCTTAAAAATAAGGTTTTAATCATTTTAGTAGTAGTAGTAGCAGCCTGTTACGTACATTCTGCTGAAGAATAGTAATATATTTCTGCCGCAATGTCTTCAAATTAAACTTTTATTTTGACGGGTTGCCGTGAATACCTTTACATTTCTGTGTGTATATGATATGAGGATAATTTTACTCAAATTTTACTCAAAAGAGCAGTTCTGGAGATGTTGTTATGTATTTATGTCCTCATATTAGTGAGACAGCAGACACTAATATCACCGGAAGCGTCACAAGCATTTCAGTACGAGTGGTAAAAAAAAAAACACGCGTCTGCGCCATTCATTGACACAGAGACACGCAGAATTAATTTAAATATGAATAATTTTACGGCTTAATATTTGCAAATACTAGTGGGAGTGTGCTCACTTGTGTGTATGTGTGTGTGTGTGTGTGTGAGAGTGTGTGTGTGTGTGTATATATATGTATGTGTGTGTGTGTGTGTGTGTGTGTGTTTACCGCAGAGGCAGGTGTGTGTTCGAGGG